GCAATGAGTAAACTCATGCCAAAACTGTCTTCTACGTAAGTGATTGTTTGAATACTGTCTTTTGTTTTTATAGTTATACATGCAGATAATTAAAAAGAGTCAATGTCATGTCAACTATACTTCAAAAAAAAAAAAAAAAAAAAGCTGAAGAGTTCTGGGAAGTCTGCTAGAAAAACCAGTCTCTTGCCTTCACTCCCCAAGAGCACCCTCTCATCAATTCTGGCTCATGATTTTGGGAGTTACCCCCATTCTCTAAATAACTTATCTGTGCCACTGCTACTTGATTTTTCAGTTTTGTTACCTTTTATTTTTTTTTTAAAGATTTTATTTATTCATTTGACAGAGAGAGATCACAAGTAGACAGAGAGGCAGGCGTGGCGGGGGGAGGGGGGGGAGCAGGCTCCCCACCAAGCAAAGGGCCCAATGTGGGGCTGGATCCCAGGACCCTGAGATCACAACCTGAGCTGAAGGCAGAGGCCCAACCCACTGAGCCACCCAGGCGCCCCAGTTTTGTTACCTTTTATAGTAGCTCTTTCTCCAACCTCACCTCATACCCTCCCCTTTTCCCCAACATAATTCCTCAGTTTCATAATATAGGCTAGCTCAGTAGTCAGTGTTTACACGGCATATAAATGGTAGGCATTCAACCTCTAATTAATTTTTTTAAGATTTTATTTATTTATTTACTTATTTTTTGAGAGAGAACATGTGCACACGTACCCGAGCAACCGGAAGAAGGAGCAGAGCGAAACAGAACCTAAAGCAGGCTCCCAGCTGAGTGTGGAGACCAACCCCATGACCCCGAGGTCATGACTGGAGCCAAAATCAAGAGCTGGATGCCCAACTGAGCCACCCAGGCGCCCCATTCAACCTCCATTTAAAGATTTTATGTATTTGTCAGAGAGACAGAGAGAGAGAGAGAAAGACAGGCAGGCAGAGAGAGATGCAGGTTCCCTGCTGAGCAAGGAGCCTGTGGCCGGACTCAGTCCCAGGACCCTGGGATCATGACCTGAGCCAAAGGCAGACACTTAACTGACTGCGCCACCCAGGCGTCCTTCAACCTCCATTTAATACACTATGCTACTATCCTACACAGCTGTATTTACCCTGGAGTTAATAAATGCCCTTTCCCACCTTGCCTCAGTTTGCTTTGTTTTATGCTTTGTTTTATGGTCTAATTTGCATTTCGATCCCAAACTTTTTGCCACTTGTCTAAATCTCAGTACATTTGGGCAGATCAGGTATTCTACCAAATTCCACCTTCCTGAAGAAGTGTCTCCCAGAACTTGATGACCTGCCCCAATTTGGCAAATGATCCTCTACAGATGGGACACAGCGTATTACCTGAAAATGTACTCTCTCTTATGTTTAGATGGAGCATATCCTCCATTTTGTGAAGTCCTTGCAAATCTGAAAATGTTCTAGCTTCACAACTGACTTAAGTTTGTTTGGATACAGAATACTAGGTTGAAATCATTTTCCCTCAGACTACCAAAGACATTTCTCACTGAACTCCAGCTTTCAGTGTTGTTACCAAGTCCAGTGTCATTCTGATTTTTGCTCCTTTGTATAAGACCTGACTTTTACCCCTGCAAACGTCTAGGATCTTCTCTTTGTGTCTTAGGTTCTAAAGTTTCACACTAATGTGCTTTGTTGCGAGTCTATTTTCACCTATTGTGCTGAGCATTTTTGGTCTGGAAACACACCCTCCAGTTGGGGGTAAGTTTCTTGAATTACTCTGCAGATGACCTCCTTGGATATTGGGCCTCCTACACTAGTCCTCACAGCGATCCTGTTTTACACACTCCTGAGAAAAAAAAAAGCCCAGGCTTTTGCCAAGGTGGAGAAAGACAGCTGGGGATCTGACTGCATCTGAAAAGGGCTTTCACCCAATCCTCCTAACTGACCCCTCCTACTCACCCTCACTTCCAGAGGTTAGCTGATACCCCCAGCTCTCATCTGTCAGAGATTCTGCCATGTGAATCAGGTTGCTTCTCAGCGTTCCCAACTGTTGGCCTAGGAGTCATTTTCCTTGGGTCTGCTAAATCCTTGCCATTCATCACTTTGTAGTTTCCAAAAGTTTGCTGGTGTTGTCTGCTCCCCATTCTCCCAATCCTTGTGGGATTACTTTTTAAAAAAAAAAAACCTTTTACTAGTTTTAGTGAGGGCTGAGGAAACATCAAAAATAGATGCATGAATACAACCCACTCTCTACCTAGAATTCCCACATAGCTGTCTTTCTAGGCTAATATTAGATTCTTGGCCACAGTTTCTCTCACAAAGTTGAAAGAACTTTTTAGGTTTAAGGCTCTTCTTTCTCTTAATCAGAAAATGAATTGAGGCCCCATCAGAAAACTGAAGAAATGCACACCAAGATCTTTTACAGAAGTCTTTTGTTGGTGTGACCAGATGCAAACAGCTTTAGAGATCACAGGTTTCTCTCTAGAGTGGCACTGTCCAAAAGAACCTTGTGATGATGGAAATTGTTCTTCTGCACCGTCCAGTACAGTGGCCAGCAGCCACACATAGCTATCCACACACTGAAATGTGGCTAGAGCAATTGAAGAACTAAAATTTTCATTTCATTTACCTTTAACTAACTTAACTAGCGATTGAATACCCACATGGCTACCATAACAAACACCACAGCTCTTGAGAGACGTTTCTCCACTTGAGTATTAACGTTAAACATTCAGTGTGTGTCCCCTAACCCCTTCCAAGATACCCAAGAGAGTAAGCTTTTCTTTCCAGGATTCAGTATAACACACTTGAAACAAATTACCAGCCCCCTGCACAGATTATACTCAAAACACAACTCCCAAATGTTCCCTAAGTGCTCACTCTCAGGTCTCAGGGCCTCCCTATCAAAATCAATTAGTCTCCTCTCCCGGGAGATCCAAGTAAGCCAAGCTGTCCCTTAGACACAGGTTTCTTTTTCCCATATTATTGTCTTTTCAGTCTAAAACACTCGTGACTATAATCGAGGCTAAGGTGGAGGAAAAAGTTTTTCCCAAGTCCTTCCCAAACTACGAGGTATTACACTCAAGGATGGTAAGGCTCTTCCAAAGTAGTAACGGTTCTTTTACTTCCAACCCTGGTCCCAAGAACAACCACCAACGTATAACGTATAACGTATACTTTATCTCACTGAATCCTCACAAGCCTCTACCGTAGGTACTACCTTAGCCCCATTTTATAGACGAAAAGACTGACACTTGGCGGAGCTAAGTAAGTTGCCGGGGATCTCACGGAAATCAGCGAGCTGGGACTCAAACTGTATAAATACAAAGCCTGTGCTCTAAGTGCCTGCACACCGTGGGTACTCGAGAAACGTTTGCCGAACGTAAAGTTTAAGGACGAGCCGGCGTCGGCCGGGGCTCACTGCCCGAGAGCTCGGAGAAATGCAGCAAAGACTCGTAAAGGTGAACTTCTGCAACTCCAGGGTGAGGGAGGGCCCCGCCGGGCGCCAGCAGCCGAAGCCCAGGCCGGAGCCCCTGCCTCCTCCAGTCCGGGATCTGTGTGCGCCGCGCGGGCCGGGCCGGACCAAGAGCCGCGAAGGGTCGGCCGGAGACGGCCCCGGGGCCGCGCCCTCCGCAACCACTGCCCCCCAATACCCCTGGGCCAGAGGCAAGAGCAGTCTGGCTCAACGGCCGCCGTCCACACCCAGTCACTGGCCGCGTTGGCCCCGCAGCCGCCCGCCTCACCTGCGTGTCCGCCGCCATCCTGCCGGCGCTGACTCCGGAACCGCTTCCGGAGCGCTTCCGGGTCATAGCGCGGGCCCACGCGGCAGGGCGAGGCCAGGAGCCCGCCGGGCCCGGGGCCTGGCGCCCCCGGGCGGGACGGCGGCCGCAACAGCCCGGGCTAGGAGGCGGGCAGCGGGATGGAGTGCCTGAACCGGCGCTGGCGACAGTGGAGGCCAACCCCCAGGGCCTGCTCTTCAACCCCAGGGCCCTTCTCAGCCTGGCCTCGTGGGAGACGAAGGTCTTTGAGGATTTGTAACGTGGTGAGACCACCCCGTAGTCTTCGACCCGCTTGAGTTCGCAGGTCTGGCCCCACGTGGCCTGTGCCAAGCGAAGGCCACATTCTTTAAGGAAATGAGATTCTTAAATGGCAGAACTGACCTAGGTAAAAAGGAGTCAGCGAACTCGCATCTTCCCCTGAGCTTGTAACCAGTGGCAGACAATGTTGAGTTAGAAAACAAAGGGGAACTCTGGCTATCAGGGAAGTATTGTGGAGCTGAGAGGGGGCTGCACAGGACAAAATGTTCCAGATTGGGATGTAGGCAAGGCCACAGGGTGGGAGCCTGAGGGCAGTAAAGGACCTCACGGTCCAAGGGACATGGTCGTAATTTTCAGTGTGCAGACGGGTCAACTCTACAAACTACAGTGTAAAGAAAGGGGTCTGTGCAGCTTAGCTGTTGGCCCTCTTAGCAATGGCCTTCAAACTGTAGTCAACCTAGTTACAACAAATACTTTTCCATCAGGACCCAGTACAGATTTGTAACAACCACAAGGAAACACCTACCCTTGCAGAAATCACGTTTTATCTTGGTCACCACCTACTCAAAATATGAGTGACCCAGGCTAGTGGCCAGATAGCCATGGAAATAAGAATTCTGGTGTAATAGAAATTCAGTTAGGGGGACCAGCTGGCAGTCCGTGGGGCATGCAACTCTCAATTTCTGAGTTGTGAGTTCAAGCCCAGAGTTGGGTAGAGATTACGTTTTAAAAAAAAAAACAAAAACAAAAAAAAAAACAGCTAAAGATGGGTAGTATTTGGGGGACATGGGTGACTCAGTTAAGCGTCAGAACTTCAGCTCAGGTCATGATCCCAGCTGCTGGGAAAGCAGCACATCAATGACAAGAACACTGGAAAGGAAAAAAAAAAAAAAGGACACTGAAATGTCAACTTCAAATAAACCTCTACTGTTCCACCATGGCTCTAGTTTCTAGTACAAAACATTATGAACCTCAAAATGCACAAAATGAAGAGTCCAGAGACACTTAAGAGAAGTAAGCCTTTATTTCCTTGTTTCACAAATAAACTTGGCTGAATTCGTTGCTTTTTGCTGATTAGTCGAAGAGACCAAATCCCATATCCTCATCCGACTCCTCCGACTCTTCCTTTGCTTCAACCTTGGCTGGGGCTGCAGCAGCAGCAGGTGCAGCAGTGGTGGCAGCGGCCACAGGGGCAGCAGCCACAAATGCAGATGGATCAGCCAAGAAGGCCTTGACCTGAAGCAAGAGGAAAAGTTCATGATCAAAATGGTCATTCACAACCTCTGCTACCCACAACCCCTCAGCTCTAGTTCAATGGCCAACAACTTCTCAGCCACTAAAGCCTTCCCTGGAGCCTTTCTTGGAGATGATCAGGCAAGACAGCTTGGGTATGGCCTGGTAAGCTTAGACCCAGCTCTCATCCATCAACTAACCCCTCTTCTGGTTTCTTGTCATTTCTAAAGTCAAGGACACACCTCCCCTGCCCCCCAACTTCTTAAGGAAACTCTTAAAAATATATCTACTTTGGGGCGCCTGGGTGGCTCAGTGGGTTAAGCCACTGCCTTCAGCTCAGGTCATGATCTCAGGGTCCTGGGATCGAGCCCAGCATCGGGATCTCTACTCAGCGGGGAGCCTGCTTCCTCCTCTCTCTCTGCCTGCCTCTCTGCCTGCTTGTGATCTCTGTCAAATAAATAAATAAAATCTTTAAAAAATAAAATATATATATATATATATATCTACTTTGTACAATATGATCATTAAACACAACTAAGCATGCTACCATCTATTTATCCCATCAGAGCCACTGTGGTCCTAATGGGTTTTTTACCTTTTCAGCAAGTGGGAAGGTGTACTCAGTCTCCACAGACAAAGCCAGGACCCGCTTGTATCCATTGATGATAGAATGGGGCACTGATGCAACAGTTGGGTAACCTATCTGCAGACATACGCTGGCAACATTGCGGACACCCTATGAGGGGAGGAAAAAAATTCCATGTCAACTGAGCTAGGTAACTTACAGTCAAGACCGTGAAGTCCAAGCGAAGTTCAACAGCAGGCAAGACTTCAAGACTGACTTGCTATGTCTCACAGAGGGCGCTTACCTCACACCAAATGCTTCTGGCAGGGCAATTCAGACGCAGTAATTTATAAATGCTTTTTGCCCCTATTCCCAACGTGGTTATTTGCCAACACGATTATTTCCTATACCATAATGATGGCACTTACTTCAAAAGTCACCATTTTGTGAAAATGTAAACTAAGCTAACCATTCAGTTCTGTGAGAACAAAAAAAAAAAAGGTTAAGCTAATTGCAGATGTAAATTTCATCCACTACTAAGATTTCCAAATAATAAAAACTATATATATTAAACACAATTTCTCATTTGTCCAAGAAAACAAAAAAGGAATTATATCTTCTATCTCCTTATCCATCAATTAAAAGATATTTTAACGGCAAAAACTAAGCCAGCTAGTCTCAGGAAAAGTCAATTCTCCCCAAACAGGGTACCTGGCAACATTTACTTATACACGGTCCTCATTTTTCTCATTTCTCCTCTGACTCAGGACACACTACTCAAAATCTCAGGTTTTACTGCAGGTCTTAGAGTAACAATGGCCCTATTTGCCCAGTGCTGTTAGAAGGCTTTATACTGATTAATTAATTAAATCCCTCAACAACCTTGTATTATTACTGCTGTTTTACAGACGAGGAAACCAAAGTCAACCGATTAAATCATTGTCCTTGGTTATGTGGCTCTCAGGTGTGTAGCCGGGATGCAGTCTGAAACCGGCCAGGCTCCCAACCATCAACCAAGGGCCTGAAATGGACAGCTTTTACCTCCAGGAAGCGAGAATGCAGAGTTTCCTCTGTGATGTCAAGCACTTCAGGGTTGTAGATGCTGCCATTGTCAAACACCTGCTGGATGATCAGCCCAAAGGAGAAGGGGGAGATGTTCAGCATGTTCAGCAGCGTGGCTTCGCTGGCTCCCACTTTGTCTCCGGTCTTAATCAGCTGCACATCACTCTGAAGAACAAGGTAACGGTTGGCAGTCAACACCAGGACAGCCAGCAGGCCCACAGAAACCAAGTCCCTACCACTTGCCTGGCTAGCACTGGCAAGCCAAGTCCACTCACCAGGATTTCAATGGTGCCTCTGGAGATTTTAGTGGTGATGCCTAAAGCCTGGAAGAAGGAGGTCTTCTCGGGCCCCAGACCAGTGTTCTGGGCCGGCACAGTGACCTCACATGGGGCTATGGCACCAGCACGGGCAGCAGCTGGCACCTACACGGAAACAACAGTGAGAAGTCTTCTCTCCACAAACACAAGTTGAAAATGATCAGTTTTGCTTTTAAGGAGTCAAAATAAGCGATAAGAAATCGTTAGCCGTCCTGATTCTCTCCTTACCTTATTGGCCAGCAGCATGTCCCTGATCTCAGTGAGGTCCTCCTTGGTGAACACAAAGCCCACGTTCCCCCGGATATGAGGTAACAGTCTGCAAAGAGAAGTTGACAGGAGACAGTCACCTTTCAGCACCATTCTTCTCCAGGAAAGGGGAGAAGGGCTCTGAGAAGGGAGGACAAAGATGCCCAAGAGAATTAACTGACTTTTCCAGAGCTGGGTTGTTCTCCAGATGCCCTCGGATGGCCTTGCGCATCATGGTGTTCTTGCCCATCAGCACGACAGCCTTCCCGCGGAGGGACATGCGGATCTGCTGCATCTGCTTTGAACCCACATTGTCTGCTCCCACAATGAAGCATTTTGGATAATCATCCAAAAGTTGCTACAAAAACAAGCCAGAAACAATGGTTAACAGGAGGAAAGAGAGAAAATATCAAAAGAAACCAAATCCCATAATCACTGGCTTCCATCTCACTCCCTTTCTTCTAGGCATTTGAAGTGATTCAGAAATTGGGACAGTTCCTCCCACTGGGAGCCACGTGAGTTGCAAAATTGACAGACTGCATCGAAGATTTGTACCCTGAGTATGAATGGTGAAAATGAGGTATCTCCGTTCAACCCCTCGATTTTTTTTATTGTAACATTTTTAATTTTTCCCAATTATAAGACATGTTTCTGATTCATTAAATGGCTGCATCAACAGAAAAAACGACTATTCCAAACAAGGTTAGGTTTGTAAACCATTTTAAGCACGAGGTAAAACAAGTACAACAAAACGTTACTTGCAGAATCTAAACTGTGGTTACGACTGGACAATCCTTTTAAGTTCTCTGTGTATCTGAAAACCTTCGTGATCAACAGGGGAGAACAGACGAAGCTCCACAAGGCAGCCTAATGCCTAAAGAAGAGCAGGGTCGGGGCGCCTGGGTGGCTCAGTGGGTTAAAGCCTCTGCCTTTGGCTCAGGTCATGATCCCAGGGTCCTGGGATCAAGCCCCACATCGGGCTCTCTGCTCAGCGGGGAGCCTGTTCCCGCCTCTCTCCCTGCCTGCTTCTCTGCCTACTTGTGATCTGTCAAAAATTAAAAAAAAAAAAGAAGAAGAAGAAGAAGAAGAGCAGGGTCTCCTTTCTGCGTAGGGAAGATCCCCCCCACCCCGGCCACGGAGACCATCCAAGAGAACATTCACAGGGTATTTGGTATCGTGAGGGAACCTAAATATGCAACAAGTTGCCACTTCGTAGTGAGTCACTCATGGGTCTTCCCGAAACGGAGACAGAAGAGCAGAAGGATGATGAGTGCTCTCTGGAAACCAGACAGACCAGAGTATGAATGGTGTCACCTCAGGAGCCACTTAAACTGCCTGAACCCATTTACCTGCAACAAGGATTGGGGGGGAGGGGAGGGGACAGATCTCCGCAGACTGGGAAAACTAAACGAGATTTGCCTGAAACGGTCGTTCAGCAGCTGGCACCCAGGACGTGCTCAACACATGACAGTTCATAACTCCCAGTAGCGCCCAGGCCCCAAGCAGCATAATGGGCGATGGCGACCCATCCCCGCACTTACGATAATCTTAAGGAAGTAGTTGGACTTCCAGGTCGCCCTGTCTTCCCTGGGCATCACGGCGGTGCGTCAGGGATTGCCACGCAGGGTTTAAAGACGATGTCACTGCGCAGAGGAAAGGAACTCAGACACCCCCCTACACCCATCACCACGGCCCCAACGGGCTTCAAGGCCGAGGCCTATGCAGGGTAGGCCACGCGTGGACGCCCCCCAGCCCGACTTGGGGCTGCCGCCGTCGCCGCCACTCCGGGAGCGCAAGCCACGGCCTAGGCCCCAGGCCGGACAGGCCCAGACCCGCCCCCTCCCAAGATCCCACAAAGAAACCCCCCCCACCAACCCATCTCTCCCGCCGCCGGGTCCCGGTGCGGCCACAGCAGCCACACGAACCTCTCACGAGGACGCCTGGAGAGAGGAAGGCCGCGCGCCGGAGCACACCTTTTATATGTAAACGAAGTGGCCAATCAGAAGACGAGGACAGTGTCCCCACCTATTGGCTGGCGCCGACGCCTATCTAGTGACGCTAAACTGGGGTAGACAGCCATTGGATAATATTGCTGCCACTCCAGCCAACGGGAAGCCGTCTTTAAATAAAGCCGTTAAAGAAGGCGCCGTTTATGTTGGAGTAGCTGTCTCGAAGCTGCTTCCCTCTGCTGGCCTGGAGCCGCTCGCGTTCAGGGGCTAGAGCTTGGGCGCTGAGCGTTCAAGTTTTCTCCTGCCACCTGGTCAAATCGCAAACAGAAGACTACGATGTGGAGCTGAGGCATAATTGCACACGCGTTAGAAACAGCATGGTCTCTTGTCTACTCTATAGTTTGTTCTTCCCCCTACCAAGACAGAGGAACCCTTTAACACCTAAGTCAGATCATTATCTCATCTGCTCAGAATTCCTCAAAAGTTTCGAATTTGCTCAGAGAAAAAGCTTAAAACTTAAACTGCCTACGAGATCCTACAGGATCTGCTCTAGACCTCCACCCCTATAATCTCATTCTTTTCCTACTGACGCTCCCTTCCAGCCAGACGATGCTCTTTGGTGTTTTTCCAAAACACGCTCCCACTTGAGGGGTCGTGCAATAAATAGCTAGTCCCTCTCCCGGAAGACTCCTTGCTGATATCCACGGAATTAACTCCAAGTTTTCGTTCAAATATCATGTGCTCAAGGAGGCCTACCCGATCGCCTTATTTAAAATTACCCAAAAATCCACTACTACTTCCCCCTTACTCTATTCTATTTTTTCGGTAGCACTTCCACCTTTTTCTCTCTTTCTTTTTTTTTTCCTTTCTTTCTTTCTTTCTTTTTTTTTTTTTTTAGCACTTCCACCTCCTAACACACTATATAACTTACTATGTTGTTGGTTGTCTGTCTCTCCCTACAAGAAAGCAAGCTCCACAAAGCAGAGACCCTTCTCTTGCGCCTGGCACATAGCAGGCACATAATAAATATTTGTTGACTGAATGAATGCAAGGTTTGCAGTCAGAAGACCTGGATCCAAAAAAAAAAAAAAAAAAAGAAGAAGAAGAAGAAGACGACGACGACGACCTGGATCCATATCCTTCTTCTACCACTTGCTAACTGTGTTATCTTAGGAAGTGATTTCACCTTGCTGATCCTCTGTTTCCTTTTCCTTAACTGTAAAATAGGGATAACGAAGTAAGCACATTCTAGAGTTGCTATGAGGATTAAATGAGATACGTGTCTTTTTTTTTTTAAGATTTTATTTATTTATTTGACAGACAGAGATCACAAGTAGGCAGAGAGGCAGGCAGGGGGTGGGGGGGAAGCAGGCTTCCCACTGAGCAGACAGCTAATGCAGGGCTCAATCCCAGGACCCTGGGATCATGACCCAAGCCGATGGCAGAGGCCTTACCCCACTGAGCCACCCAGGCACCCCCATGTGTTAAGTCTTAACACAGTCCCTGAAATGTAGGAGGATTTCTAGTTTTTTATTATGCATTCATTCAACACTTATTTGAACACTTGTGTTAGATCAATAATTTTTTCTTTCTGGTAATGATTGAGGTAGACCCTAGGGCAGAAGGGGTGTTTCTATCTTCACCCTTTCAAGTTAGAAGTTTCTGTATTTTTGTTTCAAAGCCTCCTAGTGCCTCTGATGACCAGCTGTTTAGAGAACTGTTGAAGTCAGTTACTGCTAAGATCTTTTTAATGACAGTGTATTACTGCGTGCTCAGCATTGTGCTAAGTACTTTGTACACATTACTGCTGTGAATCTTTGCAACCCTGAGGAGGTACAGTATTAGCATTTCCGTTTATCAATGAGAAAATTCACAGGTTAAACAGCTTGCTCAAGCCCTAATAAACAATGGTTTTGGAACTGAAATCTAGAAGCAAGTACAAAGCCCCTGAGTCTCACGATGCTATACAGTCCCTTCTAAACCTTGAGGCTGTCTCTCCCCAAATGCACTTTTCCAAGTATATACACACTCAATGGTACCTTTCCGAGGACATCCTGGCTCTGATGATATAAATACCATCTCTAATTGTAGTACATCAATATAATGGAATCTCATGAAGCCATTAGAAAATGATGCAGATGTATATTTATTGACACGGGAAAATATTCACAAAGTACAGCTGAGTGAAAAAGCAAACTACAGTGAAATGTGCCATATCCATTTCTATAAATAAAATAAATTCGACATGGTCAGGAAGGATAAACCGTCATCACCTTTGGGTGAGGGTCAAGGTAATTTCCATTTGAGCTCACTGTGAAATGGCCAAGATTCCAACTAGAATTCAAAATGCTGCTTTTGGAAAACCATTCCCAGAACAGGGAAATTGTGAAGCATCTCAAAGGGGAACAATGCTATCCAGGAGGGCCCCGGCACTGGAGTTCTGGCTCAGGCAAGAAGGAAGCATGCAAATATGGACATGACCACTAGGAGGACAGTAGAGACCCATCCTCCACTCTAAGTTCGCCAACTTCTGCTGGGCAGGTTCCACACCCAAGGTGTGGTGCCAACACATTGAGGGAGTGGTGTCTGGTCAAAGCAGGAACACAGGCAGAGGCAAGCTCTGGGTTCACATCCCGCCTTTGAGCTCACTAAGAGGACTGTGTTGTGCATGTCCGTTCTCTTCTCCAAACCTCCTTCCGGTTCTGTAAGTGTGAGGCCACCCACAGGCCCACATGACGATGCCCTCCCTCAGCGAATTGACACCCAAGCACTAGGGCAGGGCGTGACCCACCACACGGGGCCCAACACTGCTCCCCCTGCTTCTCCTCACCAACTGCTGAGGGAAGAGCAAAGCTCAGGCAGGGATCCCATCCCCAGGGGGCTTTCTGCCTCAATTAAGGGAACATCACTGAGTTACCTTCAGTATGGTCCCCGTGAGTCTGGGAAAGGTTTGGTCTCTCTTCTGGTACTAAGTTGTTACCTCAGACCGCCAAGAAAAGGAACTAGGCATGGGTGAAAATAATGGCAAACTTTATTGGCATAAATCACAGGAACTGACACGGGGAAAAGCCAGGTTAGAAGTTTACAGAGAAAAAAATAAAATAAAATCATCAAATAACCATTGACCCAGAGGGTGGACCCCAGAAACCCCATCCCCCTAGGGGAGGGGCCTGGGACAGGTCCCTGTAAACAGAGCAATAAGGCCTATGGGTGGAAGTGAAGACATCAGACCTTTGGAGGGGCCTGGCTGACCTCCTCAGACCAGAGCTGCTCCCAGTCCTGCCTCGAAGGAGGGGACCCTCTTCTGAGACCCCCGCATGCTCAGCCTCTGCTGTGAGTCTAGTGGAGTGGTCTGGATCTTCCTCACTTTAGACCCCACAGGGGCCCCTTTCTGCTGACCCAGAACCCCAGGCTTGCCTGCTCCTGTTTCATCTGTGAGGGCCAGAACTACTTTAGCAGGATCCTATCCCACTGCCCCGAGTCCTATCAGGCCCCCCTTGCAACCACCTGGGCCCTTTTCCCCAAACCTCCAGTCTCCAGGGAGGGCAGGAAATTTGGGGAAGTGATGGTGCCAGTGGAATCAACAAGACCAGATACCAGCTTTCCTGAGGAGGCAGAAGAGCCACAGAGAAGCGGTGAGGAGGCCAAGATGTTTGCTGGGTTCTCTTTGTTGCCAAAAAGTTCACAGGGGAGCAAATGCTCCTGATGGCTTACTTAGACAGGAATCAGCACCCCCAAAGTGTACTTTCCCCTTCTCTTCCCTCAGGAACAGGACGGATGAGGTTCAGAATTCTAGGCCCCCAAGGGCAAGACACCCTGAGGCCAGTTTCAGTTAAGAGCTTGCTGGCCCAGGTAGTATCCAGGAAGGGGTTTTAAAATACAGCAGTTTATAAAACAGTCCTGGTGAGTTGTGAAGTTAAGGAAGGAGAGTCACAGAGCTGCTCCCAGTTCACCTGCTTGTGCTAAGAAAAAATAAAATACAAATTGCTTTCCCACCCCAAGCCCTCAGTACAAGGCAAACCCCACACCACAGCCATCGACGCCAACAGGACCAGTGGCCATGGATGAGGAGAGTACAAAAGGGGACATCTTTAAAATCTCTTCAAAATCATGTTGTATAGAGAAGTAAAAGCAACTCAGATGATATGAATTCAAACCTCAGTGTAGAAATCTATCAAAGTCGGTACAGTGTCCAGGCACAGGGGGAAACTCCCCACCTCACGCCATCCCAGAGGCGGAGGAAGTGACTATAAAACATTATTGCTGGAGAGGCCTTTCTCAGTAGAACCAGAGCAGTTATGGGGGGAGGGGGGAGGGGCCTAGGCCTGGGGACACTGGAAGGGCAGGAGGAGCGCAAAAAACCTTCCGCGGCCCCTCGAACATTTCCACCCTTGGACAGATGGATTTATGCTGGCATTGTCTGAAGGGAGCCGGAATCCCCCAATACTCTCAGGACAAGGATAATGAGGTCGGGATGGGGGGAGAAGGACAAAAAAAGACCCCATCTGACCCTGCCTGCCCTTCCCCCTTGCTCCACTGCCAAAGTATGAGTAAGAGACGGCTCCAGTGTGGGGCGCTGGCCAGGCCAGGCGGGGTCATGGGGACACACACGGTGCAGGATGGGGCCCTCCAGCCTCCACCTCTCGGGGAGCATGAAGAGCTGACGGCCTGGGGAGGGCTGCAGGAGGAGGAAGGCCGTGGCTCTGGCACGGGGGGGAAGAAGAGCAGGCCCTCTCGCCATCCTGCACCAGCCGAGGACGCGCGTTCCAGTTTCAGGGCAAGGCCTCTGGGTCACAGTAGCAGTTGGGGAGGCTGGGCCAGGGCAGAGGGGCCAAGAAAGGCGCCTAGCAGAAGAGCTTGAGGAAGCAGTTCTGACAGTAAGGCTTGTCGTTCTGCTCCTTGAAGGTGCCCTTGTTGAGCTGCTTGAGGCAGAAAGCACAGACGAAGTGCTCAGGGTGGAACTTCTTAGCCATGGCGGTGATACAGCGGCCTGTGATGGGCTTCTGGCAGCCGGAGCAGAGTGAGCCTCGCCGCTCATGGTAGTGCACCTCACAGTAGGGCTGCCCGTCGTGCTCAAAGAAGCTGCCATTGACGAAGGGCGTGAAACACTCCTGCCAGGCAGAAGAGGGGCCAGGGCGGAGGGTGAGGGGCTCAGGCTGGGGCTTGGGGCTGGGACAGCCGCCACTGGGATGGGCAGCACAGTCACGCTCATGACTCCTGCTGGCTGAGCGCTTCCTATGTGCCAAGTGCTGCACTAAACACTTAACTGCATTCTCTCAACAAAGGCAACTGAGGCTTAGAAGTTCAGTGACTCGCCTGAGGTCACGCAGCTATCAAGCTGCACAGCCTGGATTCAAACAGAGGTCTGACTCCTGAGCAGGTGGCTGGAACATGTGCCCAGAAACCAACCTGCATACTTGGGTATAAAAGGCACTGAGAAGTCCTGCAGTGAGCAGTTTCCCAAACGTATCTGGTCTGAGAGCCCTTGTTGGATCCCTAACGTCTGTGGACTCCCATTACCACCAAAATACAGTTTGGAGACCACTGCCTGTTTCCACTGAAGCTGGTACAAGATTATTTCATTTCATTCTCACACGCCCTTCTGCTGAACATGACCAGTCCCAGGGCCATCGCACAGGACAAGGCTGGGGGACATTGTCTCCCTTCCTCTTGGTTTCTCCCAACCTCACTGTAAGCCCTGGCCCAAGACCCTCTGAACTTGAAGAATTGCACTACTACCTGCTCACCCCTTTAATAACCCCTGTGTTAGATCCAGAGAGCACAAGGGGGTGGGGAGTGCGGACCTTCTCTCCCAGCTGCCCAATCCCAGCTCCCTCCAGATGAGGGGGACTCCTTACCCGGCACACAAAGCATTCAGGATGCCAGAGAGTGTTGAGGGCCGAGATGTAGTTCTCCAGAATGGCCCGGGCACAGCCGCCACACTTGGGCGCGAACATGTCAAAGTAATCCTTCCGGCAGTAGGCCTTGCCGTCTTTCTCATGGAACCCTGAGAAACAGGGGTTTAGGGGGCCGAGTGAGGGCCTCTAGAGATGGAATCATCCTGACTCTAACAGCAGCAAAGTCTCCTGCCCCTGCCTCCCAAGCGCTGGGGGTAAGGGGGAAGGGAGGGGGAGGAGACCATCCAGCAAGGTGATCTGCCTGCTGGTCGTACCTTCTGGACCAAAGAAGGCTCCACACTGGGCACAGAAGAAGTGCTCGGGGTGCCACGTCCGGTCAAGGGCTGTCACCACTTTCTGTGAGAGCAAAGTGTGGGATCAGAGCCCAGGTGCCGACCCACTGGACAGATCCCACAGCAGAGACCCACAGGCAGGACTGTCCTTCCCACCCCCCCCACCTGCACCCCCACTCCCACCCAGAGATCAAGTCTGTGCTCAATGCGCTCTGATTACCACTGGGAATGCCAGTTTATGGAGGGATCTGACATGCCAGACATACTCTCTCGACATACTCTCTCCTGAATCTTGCCATGTGATTAAGGTCATAGGTTCTTTTATTTATTTATTTATTTTTAAGATTTTACTTATTTATTTGACAGAGAGAGACACAGCAAGAGAGAGGGAACACAAGCAGGGCAAGTGGGAGAAGCAGGCTTCCCGCTGAACAGGAAGTCTGATGCGGGGCTCAATCCCTGGACCCTGGCTGGGATCATGTCCTGAGCTGAGGCAGACGCTTAATGACTGAGCCACCCAGGCACCCCAAGGTCATGGGTTCTATTCAGACTCCCATCTTGTAAGTGGAGAAACAGGCTCCAAGGGGCTGTGCGCTTCTCTCCACATCATGCAGCAGGAGAGGGAGGGAACCGGCACTCTACTCTATTTATCAGGCTCCTAAGCCTTGGAGTGTACGCAGCAGAGAATCTAGGATGGGAGGTGGAAGGGAGGTAGAAGGGCCCTGAATCTAGCCTGGGTTTGAATCCCAACCCCACCATTTCCTAGCTGTGTGAGCTCAAGCATGAGTGATCTCTCTTAGCATCAGATGGCAGCAGCCGCAGGAAAGAACTGGGCAGTACACCTGCCCTCCCGCCAGGCCGCCCGCCCGGACTCACATCCAGGATGGGACCATTGCAGTAGTAGCAGCGCGGAGAGAAGAGGTTATGATAGTCCTTTTCACAGTAGGGCTGTCCATCCCGCTCAAAGAAGTTCCGGGATCCGATCTCCTCTTGGCAATGGGTGCAGACGAAGTGCTCCGGGTGCCACGTCTTTCCCATGGCGGTCACGACCTGGGGAAAGAGGCAGAACGAGGCTTAGGGCCCTGGCCTGCCACGGAGCGCCCCCCCCCTGGGGGGGCCCAGGGGAACCAATTTCCCTCCATCTGCGGCTCCCTCCCCTGCTCCCCTTCCCCCTCCATCACCTGCCCAGCGATGGGCTTCTTGCAGGCCCCGCAGACCCCTTTGGCAACCGTGGCGACCCCCAGTTTGTTCAGGTCAGACTGCAGGCTCCCCAGCATACTATCCAGCTGGCTCCCAGGCTTCGGGGGCCCCCCAGGGGGAGAGCTGCTCCCCGTCTTCCCCTGGGCCATGAACTGCAAAGACAGGGAGAGAGGCGGTCAGGACTTCAGGCTTGGGGAGGAGGCCTCGCAGCACCGCGGCACCGGGGCTCTTCTCCCTCCTGGACAGACAGGCTGACGGAGGCAAGCGGTTCAACCTCGTCCCGGGCCCCCAGAGCCCCGAGCCCCGAGGGTGGGAGTGGCATCCACAAGATATCCTGGGAATCAGAGGGGCTTGCGGCACCCCACTGGCCTACCAAGGCCCAGAAAACAGGCAAGCAGGACCCTAGGCGCGCCCGCCTCGGCACTGACCCCTCCCTCGTCCTGCCCTTCGGGACTGCTCTGCCTGTCGCTCGGAGGCCAGCCGGCCGCCCACGCTTCTCCATCCGCCATTTGTTCCAGGCCCTGGATCTTGGATAGGGGAGGAAATGAGGACAAGAAAATTGTTTTTAATTAAGGAAAGAAAGAAAAGGAGACCTCGTTAGGGAACATTTCACAAAAGGGAATTTGGTACGAAATAAGAGGACCCCACCCCACCCCCACCCCCACCCCCGGCAGTACCAGAATGAGGAGGAAAAGTCTAGAGAATAATGACCCAGAGAGAGAGGCCCGGGGAGAGATGAAGAAGGGGCAGAAGGTGAGCCAACTAAAGGCACGGACAACGGAAAGGAAGGTAACCAGGGCTGAGAGCACAGTGGCCTTCCAGGTACTGGCCTGGGGGCTGGAGTGGGAGGAGCAGGTTTGGTTTCCCTTCTGGGAATGGCTTCCTCAGAGGAGCCTGAGACAGGACCAAGGGACATGGGGAAGGGGCAGGCAGAGAGAAGCCCCACTGGGAAGCAAGAGGACAGCTGACATCAAGGGGCTGGGAGCGCTGACAGCAGGTTGAGAGGGCCCAGGGTCAAGGCAAGGTCTAAGGAAGGACTGTGATACTGTCCTGACTCATGGACGGAGGGCCAGAGAGGGGGCGTGTGTGTGTGTCCCCAAGCGTGCAGTGCAGGAACACGGCCCAGGCCGCGGGACGGAGACAGGGAGGCCTGCCTGCATCGGGGGGAAGAGCGGGTCCTCCTCAGTCTGGCAGCCCACGGACCTCCAAGTGTGGGGTGCAGGAGGGGGCGGGGTGGGGCCCTGCACACCCTCTTCCCGAAGCCCTGCCGCAGCACTTGGGACCCCAGGGGAACCTCGGGCAAGAGCAGAGGGCCCCAGGGAAGAGAGGGCGGGCAGGCTGGGCGAGGGACAAGGGCTGCTGGCTGAGGCGTCTTTGTGCCGCTGGAGCAAAGAGACAGGAGGAGGAGGAGAAGTCAGAAGAGGGAAGGTTCTTCTTAGGGGAACGGGGGAGCCAGGAGGGAAGACGACCTGGGAAGAAGAAAGGAAGGAGAGAGATGAAGCAGAGCGTAAGAGCAGGAAGCATGCCATCCCCAGGCTCCCCCTGGGCCTTCCCACCCTGGCACCGAGAGTGAGGCCAGCCTCACTCGGCCACAGGCTGCAAGACCCTCCCCCCACCCTCCTTTCCACACCACATCTCCCCTCCAGCCATCCTGGGCAAGAATCAGGATGCCTACTGGCCTGGCCCTGGCCCAGCCCCAGGCACCTCCTCGCTACCTTCTCTACAAGCTGCCCCCCAGCCCGCCTCCCACGAGGCTGCACAGTGATGATGACGCCCTCAGTCAGCCAGTCCTCGGCAGAGACCCCCGCTGTCCCCGCTGCCTCCTCTGCCTCCGGCTGGATGCCCAGCCGACCCTGCAGCTCTGCGATGAGCCGCTCCTGGGATGGGGTCCTGCTCAGGGTGGCGGGGTCCAGCCGGCGGCGAGGGGAGGGCTCCCGGGACATGGGGTGTGCGTGGCCCGTCTCCCGGCTCCTCCTGATCACAGAGCGGATCTGAGGGGGGGAGGGGGAAGCTGTCACTGTCCCACTCTGGGCTCAGCCAAGGCTGCTCAGTCCACACTCAGGTGCCGCGGGCAGGAGAGGGCAGAACACAACTGCCAGAGAGGAGCTAAGCGGAGGTGAGGTGGAGGCAGGGGGCAGAGGGTTGAGGTGGAGGCAGGGGGCAGAGCGGACTCCCTCCACCTGGCACTTCATCTCCAAGTCAGCAATGACCTTGGGCAAGACTTCACTTCCAGGGGTCTCAGCGTCTCCATCCTTGAAACGGGGTTAGAGTATTTTCTCGGCTGCCTTGTAGGGTTATTCCAAGATTATTTGAAAGGATAAGGATGTAAGGGGTGGACATTCCTGAAAAGGCATAAGACTCTTTCTTTTTTTTTGATCTGTAATAGAAAAATGTGATCTTTTCTGCCAGTACATCTTTTAATTAGTTTTTTTCCTGGTGTATATTATAACCTCACTTGTAGTTGTTTGGGTTTTTTTGCTGTTGCTCTAGTCTGTTTTTGGAAAAGACATAAAATTTTCATTAAGCAAGAAGCCAGTAAGAACAGTAACATCAGCCACGGCTTATAGGGGACCACGTGCTGTGTTCTCAGCACTTTACAGACATTGCCTCATTTAGTCCTTGGACAGCGGTGGGGGGAAATGGTCTATTATAACCCCCATTTTCTTTTTCTTTTTTTTTTTTTAAAGCAGACTCCACACCCACCATGGGGCCCGAACTCATGGCCCTGAGATCGAGTCGCATGCTCTACTGACTGAGCCAGCGAGGCCCCCTTACTGTTACCCCCATTTTAAAGACGAGAAAGCTGAGGCTGGTGGGGGTTTGCCCAAGGTCACACAGGGTAGCAAGTACCGGAAGCGTGGTTTGTATTCAGGACTATCTGGTTCCAAAGCCCATGCTTTTAACCATTTCGCACACATCATGTCAAGAGGTGAGGGGTAGCCCATCTAGAGGAAAGAGCCTTCAAACAAGCAAGAAGAGGGTTGTCACTAAGAGAATTTCCAGGGCCTGGAGGCTCCACTGGCCCCACAGAACCCACTCCTGGTCATCAGGGTCTGAGGCTGCCCGCTCTTGGGATCTGCTGCCCAAGGAGACATGCACAGAGAGGGAGGCCGCATGCGGTTAGCCAGGAGCGGCCCACACTCGGGCCAGCCGAGGGCCATGCCTAGCAGCCGTGCGAGCTTGCGCCTGCCTGGCTGGAGGCGGAAATCCTCTCAGTGGTGTCGGGCGTGTCCGTGACCACGGCAGGTGGAGGCTCCGGCTGTTCCCTCTGGGCCTGGGCAGCAGCTTCGGTGGTGCCTTCCGGCCGCCTGAGGGTCTCGGGTCCCTGGGTTGGCCTGACCCGGCTTCCCCTCATGGGTGTCTGTCCACCTAACTGCTCCTCATCAACTGGGGCTGGGCGGCTGCTTTCCAGCTCCCCTGGCTCTGGCTTTGCTCTCTGCTTCGGCTGTCCACGTTCCTTTGTGAGACTCCAGGTATCTGGGAAGATAGCCTGACGGTCCACGGCCAGTACAGCTGGCTCAGTTACTTCCGGGAAGCTGGGTGTGGCTCCGTGGGGGATCTCACGCGCCTCCAAAGCCCACGGATGCTCCAGAGCGGCAGCCATGGCTTCCTCTGGGTACAAAGGGTTGGCCAACAGCCCGTTGGGGTCTCCAGGCTCCTCGGGACCTGCACGCCCAGCCTGGCGGGGTGCTGTGTGGCAATGGGGCGCCCTGGAAACCTCACTTGTGAGGCTTGGTAGGTCTCTCCAAACCTGAGCCTGGTTCTCTGCACCAAACAGCCCCAGAGGGGCCTCCACAGAAGAAGACCTTGCGCTGGGAGTGTCAGGTGTCACCTGGAGGGCAGCCACAGGAGGTCGAAGGCCCTGCCCATTACTGGGGTCCTCCAAGCAGAGGACCTCCTGGGAGGCAGCAGGACCTCCAGAGGCAAGCTTAGGAGTGGATGGTAAGAACAGAGAGGGCCCAGGAGGAGGAGGAGAAGGGGAAGGTATGTGGCGTGGGGATGGAGCTGGTTTGGGCAGCAGCCCCAGGGAGCTCAAGGCCACAGCAGAGGAGCTGGTCTGGAAGAGGAGAAAGACAAAAGGCAGAAAGGAGAGGAGAGAGAGATGGGAGAGGTGAGGAGAGGTGCTGTCTGCAAGGGATGGGCTTGGCCTGAGGGTACTGAGACCCACCAACTACACTGACCAACACCAGATCAAGGGCGCTGAGAAGCTGAAGCACGAGGGTTGGCCTGAGAAAGACTCAGACCCCAAAAAGGTCTTCCTGGGCTCCACATTCCTGGCCCCCATCAAACCCAGGCAGCAAAGAGCCACCACTGTGCCATGCCTGCGGGGCCACCCTAGTCAGAGTAGGGACAAGGGAGAAAAGGCTCCAGAGGGTGGACCATGGAGACCGGTGACCAGGAAGGTCAGCCCAAGCCCAATCGAGGAAGAGTCAGCCACAGGCAGCAACTCTGCTTCCTCCAAACCTGGCTCAACCTGGCTGTCTCCCCCAGACAATCCTAGCCTTCCTGCATCCCCCAAGACCTTCATCTCAGAGCACAGCTAGAACCAGTGCAGCTGCTTGTGGGCACCACGACGCTGGCTGGCTGTCTCAGAAAGTAAAATCTGGGGTGCCTGGGTGGCTCAGTCAGTTAAGCGTCCAACTCCTGATTTCGGATCGGGTCATGATCTCAGGGTCCTGGGATCGAGCCCCACATCAGGCTCCCGCTCAGCAAAAAGTCTACTTGAAAAATGTCTTTCTCTCTCACTCTGCCCCTCCCCCTGCTCATACTCACCCCCTCCTCAAATAATCTTAGGGAAAAAAAAAAGTAAAAACAGTTTAAAGGGTGGTAGTGCAGGGCTCCCCAAGACCAACACCAAAGTCCAAGGGACTTGTTTCTGATGGTGGCCACTCACCACCCACAACCAATGGCACGTGAGGGTCACAAGCCCAGGAAGCTCCCATCCCCCACCATGAACCCCCCAGCTGGAGGTACTCTTTGTACCCCCCTCGGGGCCAAGAGCACTCAGGAGGCTTGCTCCCCTTCTCAGATTCCCTACTTCATGCCCCAAAGGTCCCAGGCAGACCCACGTGGAAGGGTGAAGTCAGCAAGTGCGGGAGATCAGGCAGGATAAATCCCCACCGAGGCACTGACACTGAAACATCCGGGTCTGGCAGGCCTGAGAGGCCCAGGACAGGAGGGGAAAGGATGCCTCCTGCAGGACTGGCCCAGGAGCCTGAAGGGTTTAGGTCTCCCACAGATAGAACCTGTGGGGACTCGGGCCTGTGGAGGGTATGGGGAAGGATGGAGGGAGGCTGGTAAAGGAGAACTGTGCATTTGGAGCCAGAGGCAGAAGGAAGAGGGACCTGTTGAGGAGAGCCAGCCAGCGTGGGAGACGGAGCTCCGGGACAAATGACCTCTCAGGCACAGGATCCCAGTCCCACACGGCCCAGCAGAGAATGCCCTCCCCCACCAAGAGCAACCATCAACACAGAACCCTTTGTCTCAGCCTCCTGATCCCCTCGCCTGGGTGGCTGGGAGCTGGGAGCAACCCAGGAAGAAGGAATTTCCCTGCTAAGTGCTTCTCTGCCTTCATCAGCTGTGAGTGAAGCCTGGTGTGACCCTCCCTCCCTGGAACCCTGGTGAGATCAGAGCACCGCAGGGTCCCTGGCTCAGGGCAAGGCACCCAAACACTGAGGGCCCGCGCTCCAACTACTCACACCGAGGTAGAGGGGAAGAAGAATGAGGGGGCAGGGAAGAAGAGGGGTCTCAGGGCACCTTGAAATCCGAAAGGGAGGCCATCAGCTCGTCCAGCTCCCTGGTGGCAGAGGAGGCTGAGATGCGTGTCTGCTGCTGGCTGGCGGTGACTCGCTGAGGGCTGCTCATCTCGCCCTGGTTCACAGTGATGGCAGGGCTGCGGGGCGGGCACGGCGTCAGCGGGACCCCAGAGGCCAGCTCCGTGTCCCCCCAGAGCGGCCCTCTCCTCTCCAGGGTCTCAACATCTCAGCTCTCACACTGGGGTCCTCCCGCCCGACTCCGAAGAAACCCGCCAGCTCCCAGTCTCAGCCGCGGGGACAAAGCTCAGGTGAGCTGCTGGCATGGGACAAGAGGGCAGCTCAACCGGCCCCTTTCTCAGGAGAACATCTGTGGTCCTCCGCGCCTGAGTTCAAGCTCGCCTGTTAAACGAGCCCAAGCACCAGGCACAACACCGTACAGACCTGTGAGACTGCCCCAACGACACACCGACAGGAGCGGGGCTGACATTTAGTAATGAGCCATGTGTGCCACATGCTCTGAGCCAGAAACCACTCCAGACACTTTACGTGGATTATTGGGTCTCATCCCATCAAGGCAGGTGGTCTTACTCGCCATTATTCTATATCCCTTCATCCCATTTTACAGACAGGGACACGAGGGCTTGAGAGACAGCACTTAGTGAGGACAGACCCGAGACCCGAGCCCTAACACTGTGGTCCAAAGCCCATGCGGACAGCCACTAAGCTGGTGGCTCCCCCAGGGCCTGGTCCAGAGCCCGGCAAACGACAGGCCCTCGCAGAAGGAACGGGGGACAACTGGGCCAAGTGGACAGACACCGGAGCACAGCGCTGGCTGGGCAAGACCACCCCTGCCCGGGAGAGCCCACCGATACTCACACGGGGCTGGGCACGGAGCTCTCGAGTTCATCCAAGAGACTCTCCACACTGGGCCGCACATCCTCCAGGCCGCGGCCCCCATTCCGCTTGGGCTTCTCTTTCGTCAGGGGTCCAGCTTTGCCCCCCAGTGGGCTGTTATTCTCCGGGATGCCATAGTGGGGGCTCAGAGCTCCAGGCAGCGGCGGGCTTGAGTTGGCCTCATCTTGGAAGAGCGAGAGGGAAAGGCTGCTCAGCCCTGACCCCTCTGGGGATCCAAAGGCCAGCAGGTGGCCCCCGGGGGCCCAGGGAGCCAGTCCTACCTGCAGGGAAGCCCGGGGGGTTATGCTGCACCGCATTCAGTTCCAGCAGCAGGCGGTCAAGTTCGGAAAGGTTACTGCCCAGGGAGGAGCTCATCACAGTGGGTGAAGGCTCGGCCGACTTCTGCTTGTTGGGGAAACTGAGAGGCAGAGGGGAGGCCACTATGAGAGGCGTCCCCAGCTTTGGAGGCCTCAAGACCTCCAGGAGAAGAAGGTGGAGTGGGTATGAAGTCTCCCCCAGCAAGAGATGGGACAGTGGGGAAGGGATGTGGTGAGAAGAGGGGAGGAAGGAAGTCTTGCCTCAGTTCCTCAACGACACAGTTGACGTGACAACCCAACCCTGCTACTGTGTGGCAGTAGCAGCGCGAAGGCCACCAGGCCAGCCCAAGGCAGTACGAGCTGGCCAGGAGCCTCGGGACCTTGTGCGGGCCGCTGCCAGGCCTGATCCCTGGCCCCAGACCTCCCAGGCAGGAAGGGAAGGGGCGCACAGAGGGCTGCGTCAGTACCTGTAGACGTGCTCTTCCTCACCGGCTCGGGAACACGGGGGGCCGGCGCCGTCCTGGGGCACGGAAGCGCTGGAAGTTTTGGCACTGGAGCCACACACGGGTGACGGGGACTGAGGCTGCAGGGAACAGAATGCTCAGAGCCTCCCCCGAGGGGGTGGAAAAGGAACAACCCGAGTCACCCCCAGGAGGCTCCTGCTCACAGACAGTCTTACCAGGGAATTTCCACACTCCGGCCAGGGGACAGGTGATTAACACTTGGTCACTTGCCCCCTCACGTGGCCTCTGGGAGACCCAGCCATTTCCCGGCCCCTGTCCTTATTCCCCTGATCCCGTTCCTCCCTGGGCTCCCCTAGCTGCTGCCAGGCAAGCTCCTACTGCCCCAAAGCCTCGGGCTGTCTTCCCAGCCCCCGTCCCCACCTTACCTGCTGGTGGATGAATCGGGAGGCACTGGGATCCCACTGGTCTAAGGGGTCAACGATTGTGCCATTGAGGGCCTCACTGGACGGGGGTGGCGGGACAGGGGGTGGCACGGCAATCTCCTGGTATGTGTGGTTTCCAGTTGGGTACGAGTAGGGGGTCTCCTCCGACAAGAACACGGGCCGTTTGGAGATGTGGGAGGTGGTGGACTCCAAGTCAGCCAGCAGGGCGTCTGCAGAGAGAACACGCTGAGAGCTGTTAGGAACCAGGGATCCTGGCAACACGCTGTCCAGTGGCAGTGCCCTCCCTGCTAGCTGCACCCAAGAGCTAATGACTTCTAAGGGCACCTGCCCCACCCCTGGGAGAAATAACCAGCCTCAGGGCAGGAAGCCAGAAGCCCAGACCAGCCTGGCAAAGAACCAGCTTCTGAAACCGACCTCTTCTCCCCAGCCCAAGGCTGAAGGTGCTTGGAGGCTCCTGGGCTGCCCCTGGGGCTCTCCTACCTCTGGCGCCCGGGCACCTGCGTTCCCTGCCGACAGGGCTGTGCGGCTGGCTGGCTGGAAGTCAGAAATGCCTGCCTGGAACTCAGCACTCTGACTCCACAGGGCAAGGCGGGGAGAATGGGCGGGAGGGGCCCCACGTCATGGGGAGGGGCACAGGCATTGCCAGGTCCCACTGAAATTCCAGGAGCTTGGGCTTTCTCAGCAATGCACCCCCTCCACCTGGAGCGCTCTCCAGGGTATGGTACCTGGCTCTCTGCGGAGGCAGAGGCAAAACCCCAGGCTCCCTACTCTTCCGATACCCTGGGCTATAGGTGGAGGCTCAAGGTTGGTGGGGAGGTGGGGGCTGGGTGGAGGCTGGCGCAGGGATCCCCACCCCCTCAGCTGAGCAGGGGGCAGGACTGCTCTGTAGGCTGTTTCTGCGGAAGCCTGGCAAGCCGCCTGGCCCCAGAGGCTCTAGGGCCCTGCTACTCTGCTTATAACAGCAGAAGGGAGCCAAATCAAGTGTAAGCTTCCATTACCCTGGCACCAGGCGGCCAACTGGGGGGCCGTGGTTCTCCCCTAGCAGGAGGGGCAGGCGTAGGAACTGCTGATAACCCCTCAACTTCAATCCCCCCTCCTGAGACCCTCAACAGCCCCCCAGCCCAGAGAGCCTGGCCCCAACACCACACCCTCATTCCTACCATATTCAAGGACTTGCTCACCCTCACTCTCCTGCTGACCCGCTGAGGGCCAGGAAGGGTCAGTCCCCCACCCTTAGGATATTATGTATCAGAAAGCAATGGCCGGATCTACTGCCAATCACTAGTAACGAGCACCACGCTAGGCACTGCGTGGTCTGGGGTCTCTCTGTGAACCCTAATACCAGATAAAGCTGGAATTCTGATCCTACATTTACAGGCAGGGAAAGGGGCTTCAAGAGGTAGTGGAATCTGCCCAGATAACAAAGCCAGTGAAAGAAAGGACTGTGTGGCTCTTCGGTAGCCCCAAGCCCCCAAAATCTGGCCTGGAACAGTCTGCTGAGATCACGACATGATGCCATATTTCAATGGTACAATTTCTTCAGTGCCGGTGCCCAGGCTGATCCTTCCTTATGGCCCTGTCCCCAACCCTACCCCAGCTCAGTAGAGGGAACCAAGGGGGTCCCACACCTCCCAGCTGCCTGCCCTGCCCTCCTACCCACAAGGGTGGCCACACCTACCCCCAGCTCTTACCCAGCTGGTCAGAGGGGGAGCTTGTGACAAGGCCCAGGACCCTGGGGCCAGCAGCTCGGCACAAGGGCCTCCTGACTCCCGAGGAAAGTCAGTTCCTGCAGCCCCCCACCCCTCGCGAGATCCCCTAGATAAGTCTGGCTTCCTGTCTCTAGCAAAGCAGAACTAGAGGCAGTCAGTGCGTGCCTAGGTGATGACAGAAAAGGAACTGGGGTCCAGGGCCGAACTCAGTGGCCTCTGAACGGCCACCACCTGCTGTCATGGCTTCACACAGCATCCCCACTTGCCCTGGGCCCAGTTCGGCAGGGGTAGGGTCTCCCCTTTTCCATCAAAGGCAGAGCCAGCTGGAAAACCCTACAGGGCTCCCCAGAGCAGGCACCATGTGCAGCCCCAGTGGGAATAACAGGAGCTTCACGCTGTGTTCCTTCCCTTCCTCCTCACAGCAACACCAGCATGGAGGGTAAAAGTGAGGCGCAGGCAGGCAGAGTCACACGCCCGTGCTGCCAACCCCTGGCTGAGAGGACACAGCGAGGATGTGAACTCGGGTCTCTCAGGCAAAGGGATAACCTATCCCATCAGACCTCCCGAGTGAGGGCCTCCACTGCCCTCTGCCTCGAATCCCCCTCTTCTCCCCCGACTCTAAGTCTGGCTTACAATTTCACTGGGGTCTTTTAAACACTGGTACATCTGTTGGTCAGAAAGGAGCAGTCCTAGGAGGACAGAAACAAAAGATTCCAGGAGTTCGAGTCCTAGCTCCTCCATCTACTCTCCACGGCCATCCCTGAGCCTCGGCTGCCCCGACAAGCTGGGGTTCATCATTCCTACCTCACGGTGTTGGTGGGAGCTCTACCTGGGGCAGTGGGGGCTACAGTCCCTGGAAAGCTACAAACATCAGATCTTCTTTGTTTTGTGACATTCTGAAAAACACCTTCCTCCAAGGAGGTCAGGGTAGGATGCACCAGACCGATCACTCCCACATCTTCTACGGTCAGAATCTGGATGAGACGTGCCAAGGGCAAGCCTCATGAGAAAAGAAGTAATAAAGCACCAGTCGGAGGGAGGCAGGTGTGGACGCTGGCGGGAAAGCGATCAAATGTGTGTCTGCCTGAGTGGGAGAGAGCCCATGCCCGAGCCAGGGGGCCTCTGGGATAGCTTCCTTCCCTCTCCGCACCCTTGGACATTGCTCAGTGACTGCACAGTGTCCCTGTCTCCCCAAAGCCCCCCACAAACGCCTCAGGGAAGGGAGCCAGGAATATAGGAGGCAGCCAAGGAGGCCTCTGGGCTCTGCTTTGGACTCCTATGGGTGTAGAAGGCTGCTATGGCCTGAAAGCCCGCAAAATGGTTCCAGGCCAAAGTCTCCTTGCAAACTCAGCGAACTCCTCCCCTGCTTGAGTCAACAGAGGCCGCAGAGGCAAGACTGCTCAAGGAAGTTCACTTGGAAGCAGCACCCCATGGGTGGGTCCTCCAGTCCTCAGCTATACCTACTGCCTGGTACGTAGCTCTAAACACCAGGCAACCGGGCTCAGAGTCCAGAGTCCTTCCACCCAGACCCCAAAGAAGGTGTCTGTAGGATATGCTCCAGACACACAGAGGCAGGACCGGAAGCTGTGGGGGGCTCCTTCCTCCAGGCTAAGGAAGGCTCCAAACGTCCTGAACATTTCTCCACTAAGTTTCTGAGTCCAAGCCTGAAACCTTGAGGACAAGTCAGAGCCACTGGAACCACCCAAGCCACCCTGTGGAAGGAAGCGCTCCCTGGGGCTTCCCATCCCTTTTCTGGAAGAAACCACCCTAGATGCTGCAGGCTTTTTGCCTCTTCGGACCAGCTGATGCATGTCCTGGCACTTCCACCCACACAAGAGGGGAAGTGGAAGTCTCCGGGTGAGACCATCCGATGTGCGTGTGCCAGGGGGAGAGGTTCTCCTCTCCAGGTAGGTGGGGTAGGGGATGGCTGGCTGGGTGCAAAGTCTCCAGCCCACCAGGGGCAAAGGACACCCAGCTCCGCCCCGGCGAGAAAGAGATGCGGCCCTTCCGCTGCTTCCCGCCAGAGGGCGCTATTGGCCCGTCGGCTCCCGGCGGCGGGCGCAGTAACCCAAGGTAAACTCACGCAACCACGGAATTTTCGAGCCGGGGAAGACCGGGGAGCTCCCGGCCACGGGCTCCCTGGGGAAGTTTCAATCCCGAGAAAGCTCGGTGAGCTGGAGGGACAGAGCAGCTACGGGAGGCGCACAAGGAGGTGCCAAACCTGCCACCCGTGCTTGGGGCACACGAACATTTGAAGCACGACCAAAGAGTGACGCAGCCCCGCGGGGCTCCGGAGGCCCACAGGGACGCGCGCCCCTCCGCAGACGCAGCGCCCGCGGGCGCCCCGTCCCCACCCCGCAGCAGGGCCTGGGCCCAAGCAGCCGCTCAGATCAGGGGTGCCTTCGGACCCGCAGGCCGCTCGGGGGTAGGCTGCCTGGGCGGGCACGGAGCACGCTGCCAGGCCGAGATGAAGACGCCCTTTCCCGGGCCCCAGCGACCCGCCAAACGTAATCCCGCGGACCCGACGGGCGATGGGGGTAGGGGGCGGGAGCCTGGGGTCTGTAGCCCCAAGGGTTTGAGGGGGTTAAGAGGCTGGCTGCCCAGGGAGGGAGAAGAGAGAGGGGCCGGTCTGCCTGCATTCCAGGATGCAAGCGGCAGCTGCGCCCCTCACATTCCCAAACAAGGCGGAGGATGCAGGACAGGGGCAGCCCCGGCCCTCCTCACGTGCCCCAGACGAGGGCTCTGGGGACCTAGGCTGATCCACTGACACATGACACCCTATAAGTTAAAGACATGCAACGAACCCTTTCCACCTCCGCCCCAATGAAGTGTAAAAACAAGTTAGACCCTTTCACAAAACTGGCTTCCTCCTACCCAAGCGCTGGCCTCTCCTGAGTGTGTGATAAAGACTGTCACGCCCAGAGCTGGGCAGATGCCAGAAGATAAAGGTCTATCCACCAGGATCCCTCAAGTGAGGTGGGGGGTGTGGGTGAGGGAGGACCCAGGACTATTCCATTCTCTCCTCCCAGGCTCTAAAGACACCAGATGTGAGAACTTACACAGGGAGATTTCGAGTCACACAGACTCTGCTCAGTGGCCAAACTGCTTGTGCCTCAGTCTCCTGTCTGTCTGACCGAAATTCTACCATGTTACTCACAGGAGCAAGGAATATCATGAAAAAATGGATACACGGAGCTGGCTTAGCACTGTCCTGGAAGAAAGCACACTCTGAGTAAATGCTAACCTGAGGGGAGCTGGCTCCCAGAGAGAAGGGTAGCCCTGGAGGGGCATGAGAAAGCACCTCCCCTTCCTAACCCAGTCCGGAGGCAGAGGATGCTGCAATCCCGGAGAAGCAGTTAGGGGCACTATTCTGGGGAACAGAAAACCACCTGGAGAAGCCTCCCCATCAGGTCTCCACGACTGGGCAGGAACACTCCCAATCCTCCTCCACCCCCAGCACCAGGCTCCACTAGAAGAGGTGGGCTCCTTTAGCCTCCAGG